CTGAGAACATTTCACTTTTCAAAAAATGAATAAAATGGAAAACATATTCATTGTGCTACAGACAAGGAACTTCTAAAGACTTAAAAAGTGCTATCAGAATAATTTACTCTGAAACTATAAGCATCCATGAAAATTGCTATTTAGTGCTACTCCAATCATGTAATTTTAGCGAGTACAAAAGAATTCAGTGGAAATCAAACTGTATACTAAATTTGAAAGGGTTCCAAGCAACGGTAAAGAGAAATAAAACTAGGGAGAAGAAAGAATGCATAATTAACCTTTTAACCCTCATCCAAACTTCACTCAAATCAACAAGAATATTTCTGCTGGTCTTAATGAACTTGATATGATTTCCAAATGTGATTTCCTAAGTTATAGGGGAAGACAGATACTAAGAAAGAAATATTCTGTGGGAAGAAAGAATTTACAAAAAGAATAATGCTGTAATGATTAACCTTAATAATAAGTAGAGTTAATAGCTCAGCTTTACAAGTATAGATGTTAAATTTTCAGAGGTGAAATTTGAGATTCATACAGAAATAAAGCTTGTGACAGTCTCAATTCTTGTACAAGTACCTCCTTGCTTCTTCAGTTGAAAGTAATAATGAGTTTTTATATGGAAAGTGGAAGAAATATTTAGATAAAAAAATACATTTTTGAATCTAAGATTCATCAGCAACCCACTGAAATCTTCTCATGTGGCCTCTCAGAGTTCATTGTGGCTCCAGTGACTTCTTAATGAGGTTGCAGGAAATTCCCACTTGAGTAGATCAGACCACCACTATATATGCCAACATAACTGCATATTATCTTTTTACTTCTATATTCAATTAACGTTAGGTAAAAATCACTCAAAAAAAAAAAAAAAAGATTTTGCTAAGTTATTGTAAATGCTGGAATTTTCATTTTTTAATTGTTCTAGGTAGAAAATTCGTAGAAGGAAATGTGCTCCTGTAGTCTGAGATAAAAGAAAGCTCAAAGCAATCATGCTGATAACATGGCCACATCGCTGCATGCACTGTACTACAGCAACTGTCTTGTAAAGGAAGGAGGGGAAGAAGAAACAGTACCTTCTCAATATGTTTGTTTGTTTTAAATACACATTCACTTGCTGACCATTGACATCTTAAGCCTGATTAGAGTTTCAGCATAGGGCTTGTGTTTATTTACAACAACTTTATCACTATAGGTCTCATTAAGAAGGTGCTCAATTAACAAATACTAACTTAGTAAAAAAAAAAGAAAAAAAAGTATTAAAAAACAGATATTTAGTATTTATTTTGTGTTTTTCATTTTCCTTGCTCTCTGTACTACAGCAACCACAGTATGTAATTAACGGTCAGGTAATTGCAATGAGTTCGGAGTGCTTTCAGAAATCACTGCCCTCTTCATCCAACTCTGCGCAAACCTGCCATTCACAGCAATGCAAAATGAAATGTTTTAGCATATGCATCTTGCTGCAAAGGATTGTTGAACCCATTCTCCAGGCCCAAACTAGAGATTCAGAATATTTCCTCTTTTTTTTCCAATTTTTAAGCACAATACATTCCAAATGAGGACATAAACATGTAATTAAAATGTGAGTTAAGTTGTTATTCACAGTGAAGAGATAATCCTGCAGTCATAATTCGCTCCTACAAAAGCTGCAGCTCCCACAAAGACCAAGCCTTTCACCAAAGCCATGTAGAACAGATTCTGCGTTTCTGAGAAGAATGTCAACACCTCTGACTTTCTGAATTCCCTGCTGGCAAAATGAAGTTGTAACAGATACAAAGACTTTCCATTACTGTCACAGAAAAGCTCCTTTAGCTTTTTTCTTCCACAGAAGCTTCTTCTTCAATATTATAATCAGTTACATTAAAGGTATTTGGAATAAGTTGATTATTTGGTTAGTTACTTCCTATGAGGCTCCTAAGCACAGCACGTTGCAGTTACAAAACTCTTCTTTGACTGCATACTAGACAGCTCATACATTTTTCAAACCCAAGTATAAACTATGTTTTACACTAAACTGTCTCTTAAAAATAAAAATAATTCTCTAAGAAGATGGCTGGAAGAGCACAACACAGGCAGCTGATCCCAAGGGTTACAGTCATTCCATACCTGCACCCAAATCTCCTCTAGTCTGATGAGGGATGCACACCAGATCTCCTCTTCCCTTGCCTACACTCACTTCTGCATATAAAAACTCAAGAATTATTAATGGTGATCTCTTAATATAAGTGATGACACTTCTCCAAAGCACATCTGACAACTTTAAAATCATCCCTGCTGAGAAAAGCAGCTTTTGAACAGCCGTCCTGGAGATCTTTACAATGACTATTGTCCTGCACAGGCAGGCAATTTCGAGTTGTGCTGCTATTTTATGTGAATTAATGTTTTAACTGAGATTATTTCTGAGGTATGAATAAAACAACAAGAAGAAGTTGAAGACAAGTTCAAGAAATAGATGCAAATTTACTGACTGACCTTAATCTATCTTAACAGTACTGTATGTCACTAGATTATTTTTATTTACTCTGGAGAATCCTGTGCCCCATTACGCTGCAAACAAAGCACTGTAAATCTGACAAACATTAATATTTTGGTGAGAGGTCTTATTTCTAACTTTTGTTTTCCTGCTCCAAAAGCTCTTTGTAATGATCCCAGCTACACTACTAGAAAATGCTGAAGTTTTCAACATTGCTCTAATTGGTTTGTAATTAATACAAGATAATACTACCTTTTTTTTTTTTCTACAACAAGCTTTCAGATGAGCTGGGTGCAGCAACATCCATCAATGACTTTGTGCTCTCAAGTGCTTTCATGCAATTATACAGTGCATCATGTTACTTAAAAGCTGAAATAGCTTGTTTGTTTCTACACAGCTGTTAAAAATACATCATATGATGTTTTTTCAGAGGTATATATATTTTCAAATATTTTAAGTTCTGTGCAAAATAACAGTTGTTAGAGGTTTTATTGTTTGTTGTTGTGAAGGCATTGGAAAGGAATTTTTGTTCGGCACAGTTTAATAATTTTCATGCAATTGGAAGTATTTTAGCTCCACATTTTCCAACAGTAGTAAAGGAAAATGTTATTTATTTGGCCAGTATTAAAAACATCTTTCATTCTCCCAGATTTATATGTATATCCAATGCTCTCGTTCATGTCTGAAGCTCATCACAAATAGCAGAGAACACGCAGTGCCTATCCCAGTAAATCATACTCTATGGAGATTACAAATGTATTAGGACTTTCTCTTCGGTGAGACTTAAGACATTTTTCTCCTCATGTTCGAAACAGTATTTTCTCATAAAATTTTCGTAAGATGAGAAGCTATTATTTTTTCAGGTGCAGTAAATGCTAAATTAGCATGCCAGTAAGACTTTCAAATTTAAATTGATTATCTTTGATTTCTTTAAAGTACCAATTAACTGCCATTTTACCAACTAGAATTAGAAACAGTTATGTGCGTGCAGACAGTCACATAACAGGGACCTTTCTCCATTTACAACAGAGAAATAATTTACTGCAGGCATGAAACACAGTGCAAATGCTATAGTAAAACAGTACTGTGGCCAATCCCATTAGCAACTGTGCTATCTACTGTAATTCTTCCAGCACATTATCTCCTACAGTATAGAGGACTTGTAAGACATTTACTGCACAACATCATAAAGTCAGGAATCAGCTCTGAGAAGTAAATAATTACTTGTCTAAGTTCATTTTTATTAGCAGAGCTGCAGATGTTAATGGGTTAAATCCTGTAGTTAGGTAGGCATGTTTTTAACTGCTCTGTCAAAATGATACAATTCCAGAGAGTATCTACAGAAAACTTATAATTTGTAGACAATACTATATGTGCATAATTGTGCTCCTAAAGGGAAATATATTTTAGCTAATAAATGCAGTGAGTAAATTAAGCCTTTTCTGCACAAAACACATCTACACAGCCATTCATTTTCATTCATTATACAAGTTTAGCATACTCTAGCGTCACCAAAGCAGCAAGGCTGACTTCTCTGAACTGCTGTCTTCCTCCAGCCCTTTCATCAACAATCTCCAGACTGAGGTCCTCACACCTCTCATGCTGCCTGCTTTCCTAGCATAATGCTTGCACTGCATGTTCTTTATTTCTCTTTCCTGTATTTTCACTGCTCCTCCTTTTTTTTTTTTTCCCCCATATGGAATGAGACAAATGCAGGTCAAAGTTTGCAGCATGTTAGGTGTGCTCAGTCTTGGCTGCAGAACACCAGTCTCTTACAAATGCCAACCCAGCGCTCAAAGATCCATCTCAATTAATTGAATCCTCAGACTATAGAGTTTTACAGAGACCAAAGACCTGCAGTTACTAACAGATCCAACACCTGAGCCAGCACAGCAGGTTTCTTTACTCTTAGATCCAATTTAGACTTAGTTTTAGCAATCATCGTAATTATTTTATTATCAAATACTCTATAATCAGATATAACACAGGAAAACAAAAACAAAACCCAAAAAGCAGCATTCAGAGAATTACAACTGATAAATTGTTTCACGTCTGCTTCGTTAACAGTTGGAAAGTAACAGGGTTACTGTTGGCTTGCTGTTTGCTTCTAGCTGATCTGCAGTCATTTAAGCAAGATTCGTATTCACATTTTAATATTTAATAAAATACATAGGATGCTAAGTGCATCACTCTAAAGATGCTGATTATATTACAGTAAAATGCTAACTTTCCAACTTGCTGTATTAATCAATAAGGCTGCCTCAGTTGCACAAAGATGATTAAATTTTCATTGCAGTTCACTAAAAGTAAGATTAGCTATAAATATTTTAACAAAGATAATAAAAGGAGATTGTTAATATTTTATTTATCGTGAATAGAATTTTTAAAACACCTTTCAAAAACAAAAACTGTTTGAAAGATTTTTATTTTCTAGAAGTTGATTGTTAAGAACTAACAAAAAGTTATGGAGATGAAATTCTTTGCCTGGGTATCTGGCTTTTCATAGTACTCACAGAATGAGTCTTCTTACCTGCAGTGTTTTGAATGAGAACTGAAGTGAGGGACACATTTCAGAACCAAGATAGAAGTATGGATCTTACGTACCTGGAAGAAAAGGATAGAAACAGAACTTCTAAGTATAAAGGTTAATTTTACCCATTTGGTTAACAAAGTACAAGGCTTGAAAGGTCAAATTTATTCTACTTTTCTTCACATAAGACAGTGGAGTTGCCCTGAAAGATCACACAAGTAGCCAGGGAGAGCTTAACTCTCAGCAATTCCTCTTAAAGAAAAAAGAAAAATACTCCAAAGTCAGGAAATTAGAAATTGTGTGTGCTGGAGTGGCCACATTCCCAGTTGGATTGCCCTGAAATAGTGGTTCATAGGACTGGGAGAGTCACTGCATAAAGTCAGTCTTTTGAAGCTCAACACAGATGCTGTTGTCTGCTGCTCTTATCATAGCTGTGAATAGCAGAAATATTACAGGACTGAACAATACCATGGGGAATACACTCCCATGCTCAAACTGTTGAAGAGCAAATTCTACACTTAAGTAACTTGACCAATTTGGACGGATATATATATTTATATATATATATATTTATATATATATACATATATATATATATATATATGTAGCAGAGAAAGATTAATTTCATATTTTTCAGATGTAATCAACTTGGGTTTGAGACTATTCTGAAAGAAAAGAAATATGACAAAGGATCAATTAAAAACAACATTCCTGTTAACACAATTTTGATGTGAGATTTCAAAGAAAGCACTCAATCTATCAAACAGGATTTCTGCCACAGCACTACCAGCAGCTGGAATTGTATACACATAGTGAAATCTCACATTTGACTTTGGAACTTCACCCTTGATTGTTTCCCATACGAATGAACTACTGATTACACCTGGTATGCCATTTCATCAAAATGCTACCAGTACAAGAAAGATCTCACACTGATTGTGCTACAATTCCCTTGGCCAGAAAAAGTGTACGCTAATCCAATCACCCTGTGGATTTTGTAGCAAATGTACCAACCTATACATCAGAAATGCTTACAGAAAAAAAATAGGCTTTCTGCAAGTAGATCAAACCAGCTCTAGATAATGTTTGAAAAATTAAGCAGACATTTGGAACCATAAGAGAAAACAGAACTGTACCCCAGAAGGATTAAAGAAAGAAAGAAAGAAAGAAAATAAGGTAGAGCAGTATACACTTGGGGTACATCACCCCCAGCAGGACCAGGAACAGATGTCTAAAGTTTGCAGCAGCAACTGCTGTTCATGTACCAGTGCCTGGTGCAGCCAAGCCTGGCCTGATAATGTGTGCTAAGCACGCTCAAATTAAGCAGTGCACAAGGAGCATGACAACAAAATATTTTTATAATGCAGTCTTACATAGAACAACTTATTTCAGACTCAACCGTTTGGATACTAGACCAATGTTTGTGTTTGGAGAAAAAGGAATAAAGAAAAAAAAGGCAGTTATCAGTTAGAGTGGCCTGAGGAAGCAGATTTCAGTTTATGATTACGCTGGGCAAACTGCATTACATGGACTGAAAGGCTTATCGTTACTTTTTAAAAACGAGATAGTAAACATTTTAATGGGTTTTATTTTCTCTATTGATTGCATTCTGTTGCAAAATCCATCGTGTTTTATTTTTTTAGATGCAAGTGGACAGCAGCAATAAAAGAAAAACTCCTTATTTACTTTTCCTTCTTGTACCCCTTTTCCCTTTGTAATTATCACAAATAAGTTTTAGAAGTGACATCCATTCATTTCTTTCAATCATGATAGATTCTAACTATAAACAAGGTGAAGAGTTATTTCATCTCTTGAACATACATTTCCACTAACACTAACTGTTGCCTGGCTTGTTACATCTGAAGAGCTAGTCTATTTTAATTTATGATCACATTAACTGTGTCTGGGGTATTAGTCCCAGAGTGCTTTAGTTCTAGGATAATTCTAATTGTGTTAAGTCTCTCATTTGAGTAATTCCTGTAGGTAGCATTATCTCTTAAATCTAGCCTACGCAGTCATGAAGGGCACACAGTTTATTAAGTAAGGTTGTAAATGATTCCAGTATATAATATTCACACCCTTAGACGCTTCATAGGTAGCTTCAGCCTAGCTTGAATTCATTCCTCATTTAGAAAGCCAAATTTAAAAGTGTCCCTAAGGCACAGAATGTGAAAGACAACTCAATACCATCTGTGCTGTGCAATCTAAGATACTACTTCTCATATTGATACATGAAATGTAAGAATAAAGAAGAAATACTCATTTGAAGGCCCTATACAATCTGTTAGTCTCTAGGAGCTGGAAAGTGTACAAATGCTATCAGTGGTTATTGGTAGTGGTAGATTCAAAGGAACTGAATATTTTTATTGGAAAAAGCAGAATTCTGCCTAAAATTCACTTCTATGTTTTGAAATGAATGATTTACCTTAGCAGTAGCAAGTTTTTGTCTCGCAAATATATTTCAGCAACTTATTTCTATGATTAGAAAGATGTAATCTCAGCAGATAGGCAGCAGTTGTCACCCCCCACCCTTTCTCCTTTTTTAAAAAAGTTCTTCCCTATGAGATTTCCAGTTCATTTAACTACTATTCCAGTAAACATAAAATTGTCTTTTAAGAAAAAAACAAACTCTTCTTGTCACAATAGTTTGTAACAACTTCCCAGAGTGACACCTAGTGATACCTATATTTATAGGCAGCATTTGGTTTTTCTTTTCAAGTACTTACTTCATTCACCAAGCCAGGCTACTCCAATACTTCTGAATGCTTTCTTCATGTTTCTGTTTCCAACTTCTAGTAAAAAAAACCAAAACAAAACAAAATCACCACCAACAAAAAAACAGTAATTCAAAAAGACATAAATAAGATATTTGAGCTTTATCATAACTTGGCTAGATTTGATGAGAGAAGTGTTTGGATCTAACCTATTTTAGTCAATTAGCATTGTCCACAAAAAATGACTACGTACATCAGATTCAAATATAATCCAATTTTTCATTCTCTGAAACCTAAACAGAAGTAGCCCAAATTTGTACTATTCAAGCAGAACAATTAAGAATTTAAATTCTTAATATGTACCATGCGTTTTGTACACTTTGCAAACACTAATACATCAATGAGTTTTTGAAGTTCCAGAATTTAAGTACTGCCCAAACTTTCTACTGCATCTTACTGCATCTTAAAGCCTTAAAGCACTGTAAAGCTCTACATCATAATAATTCACGTGAAGTTTTCCTCTAAAAATTAGCTGGCCTATTAGTAAATTTAGAGAAGAAAATGTGCAAAGTTCAGAACAAAATAACTAGGACTTTTTTCTGTTTGTCCTGTTCTTATTTTTGTATGGTAATACAAAAAATAGTGCAATAAGAATGCTCTTAGGATGAAAAGCAGGAGTACATTCAAAGACTACGGATGTATCATACATGAACATTATGGATGGTGGCAAATAGTATCTTAACAAAAAATATTTTAAACAGGGTATCAGTGGCCCTGTTTAAGGGTTGACTTTGAGGACTTGTCTGTTGAAGATGCCTCGTTTTAACATTAGAGGGGTGACAGCTTAGGACAATTTTTGTCTTCCTGATCTGATACAATAAGGAAGGACTGCAAGCTGCATCTAACTGTAGTGTAAAGATTAATAAACTTTACATTTTCCTTAATGAAAATACATTGTGTTTAGATTTTAATTGTTGCACATAAGATAAAATGTACTTCGTTGTTTTACACGTGTCACATGCCAAGATAATCATAGCATGAAGAAGAAAGGTGTAACCAGTCTGGCAGATGTTTGCTGCATCTCATTGCAGTACCATCTCCTGGGGCACTGCCTGAGGCAACAATCAGCAGCAAAGCCCAATGTGAACATCAGAATAAGGAAAGTCACAAATGCAAATATTAATAGTCACAGCCACTCTCTCAACTTCAGACAGACTGGCTGAGCAAACTGACTACGCAAACCTGACTCACGTCACCTTCTCGTTCTGCTCAGGCCCAAGGGTTACAATTTGTATCAAAGGAACATTGATCAAAATGAAAAAGAACTTTGAGATTTTGCCACAAACATTTATTTGATCCACAAGTTGGCGATTCTTTTTAGATTAAGTAGATTTCAGATATTCTACAGGAAGTATCAGAGCTTTTTTTAATGCTCTTAAGTATTCTAAATATCATACCACTACTAAGTTTTGGTATTAAAATAAACGCACACTGGTTTAATCTACAAGACAATCATTCAGCTATTATTTAATATGAAACCCTAAACCTACACACATATGTGTGAGAACATAGCCAATTCAGTTTAATGTGAAAAACTCTAACGAAAACATTATCAAATGGCCACCCTTACAGTAAGGTCCAGCAGCAATCAAGTAGGATCTATCAAAAGAAATATGTAAATGAATTAAGGGAATTTTCTTAAATATATTTGGTAATCAACTAAACCCCAATTCCAGGCTCCCTTAGGTACAATGTCAGAAACAGATGGTTATCTTTTCACCTCCAAAAAGAAGTGTTGTTTGATAATTAAATTTTGATCACCTACCATCTGCCTGCTAATGATTAGCAGCAACAGAATCATTTATCCGAACATACTTGGGGAGAAATTAATCTTGGACACTTTTGAAGAATTTGATGATCTTAGTTCACCTACAAAGTAAGGTAGACTCCAAGGTCTTCATTTCTTCTGTCAAACTATGAATCTGTGTTCAGATATTAACTGAAAAAAGCATCTGTATTGAAATATTAAGTTTACTCTAAATATATGCACATAGACCTGTAGCCACAATTTCATAGTTTCTACTTTCTAAGAAAGTCAAGAATGTTAAGTGAAGCCGGAACGGCTCTGCAATAAGAAAAATAAGACCTGTTGACTTCAAAACTACTAATTGAAAATTACAGGCAAAGCTCAAAGCTGACCCTCAGACAGTCATGCAACTTCATATAGGAAGGCTTCTCCCCTGCCCAGCTGCTTCTCTGAAGCAAGCCTTGCTTTCAGCGGCTACAGCAAGATTTTTATAGCGCATAAAATTATCCAGCAAGCACAGTCTAACTTCAAGTAGAAAAAAAATCATTTTTCCTCAGTGGAAAACATAAAATGGTTTGGAAAAAAACGGTCTTTGTACTCTCTGTGAGGGTAAGGTCTTTTTCTTTTTAGTTCAGCAACTCCATCCACTGACCCTCTTCAGGACTCTCCTAATCTACTGCTTGAACTTTCTTCCCATAGAGTATACAGCTCTCTCCAGTCATCATCATGTCCCTCTCCCTGCCTATTGAGCCCAGAAGTACCTAAGCTAGAACATGGTAGCCAAGCATTCTTCTTAGCTCTCTTTCTAGGCCGTAGCTTTTAATGTAGCACATACAAGGCTGAAAAATAAATACACTGTACATTTCTCCCATCTGTCATACACATCACTCCAACAGAAAACTGAGGATAATTCTTTCATGATGTGGAATTGCAATGCTTGCCCCTATGGGGATGCTGCTGAACAGTCAGTAGCATTGATACCTTGGCCTGTCAGTCAGTGTTTCTATTTGCATGCCATATGTTTGCAAGAAAAAAATTAAATTCATGTCTTTTGAATTCTCATTCTTCACAGCATTTTATCATTTCAGATGTGTATCTTCAGTAAAAGGCTTCCGACAAATACGAGGTAGTTCTTTAAGAGACTTTGGCAAGCATTCCTTCTCCTTGTTTGGATACAGGAAATTATGCTTTTTCTGACACAAACTTTAGAGTGTTTAACATTCCCTTCTCATCCTCTGATACTCAGCTGCCACCAGAGCAGATTCTGAAATATTTGTGGATAGAGCAGTAGGCTATTTTGAGGGAGAAGCCTTATGTCTATTCCATCAGACCTGAGTTAGATTTTCTGTATTTTAGTCATCAGCAGTCTTTGTGTTCAGTAAAACAACTCAGTAACATCCTACAGGTCCTATGAATAACATGATTTCTCTTTTGTGGTAAGAATTCTGTACTTCAGTAACACATCTGATATGACTGGATGTGAATTTATGGTGTCACTTCTGTTGGAGTCTTGAAGCCTCACCAACAAAAATGTCCTTTTGCTAGTTTCCAGCAAAAAGAAAACAAGATCTATTCAACAGCTACCTCTTTTCATTCACATTGAGATCTATTCCAAAAGAGGTACAAGAATTCCTCAAAGTCTGTCCAATTGCTACTTACAGGTTTGTTTTTTTTTTTTTAAATCAGATAATCAAGCACACAGATTTCCTCAAATTAAAGCCATTCTCCTACCTGATGTAAAATTGGGCCTCACTAGGCTGTAAGGGTAAGAATATTCAATGACAGAATTGAAAGGAACCCACAAGGATCACCGAGTCCAACTCCTGTTTTCACACAGAACCAAACAAAAATCGGACCGCGTGTCTGAGAGCACTGTCCCAAAAGTCACTGAGCTCCAGCAGCTCTGTTCCATGCCCACCACCCTCTGGTGCAGATCCTTTTCCCACCTAATGCTCCCCTGACGCAGCTCCACGCCATTCCCTCAGGTCCTGTCACCATCACCAGAGAGCAGAAACCAGCGCTGCCCCTCTGCAGAGCTGCAGGCTGCAGCTTCTCCGGGCTGAACAAAGCAAGGGACCTCAGCTGCTCCCCACACCTCCTGCTCTCCAGACCCTTCCCAATCTTTGAAGACTCCACTGTATGCTCTTTGACAGTTTTATGTCCTACACTGTGTCACCCAACTGGCACCCAGTGCTGGAGGTGGGGCCACAGCAGGCAGAGCAGTGGGACAACCCTCCCTCAGCCGGCAGCGCTGGGCCTGGTGCACCCCAGGGTACGGTTGGCCCTTTGGGCTCCAGGGCACGGTGCTGCCTTGGATTCAACTGGCAGGCAGCCAGAAACCCCAGATCCCTTTCCTGGGGCTGTGCTCCGGCCTCTCGTCCCCCAGTCTGTACACAGAGCCAGGGCTGCCCCATCTCAGGTGCAGAACCAGCACTTGCTTTTCTTCATGCACGTGGAGACCACCCTCGAGTTTGTCAAGATCCAGACACAAGGCCTCTCTACCCTCAGGGAGCCAACACTACTCCCAGTTCAGCGCCATCCACAAATTTACTTAACGTACTTCCAGATCTTTATTGGAGTCATCGATGAAAGCATTAAAGAGACCTGGTTTGAAAACAGAGCCCTGCAAAATCCCACTGAGTGGCAACTAGGGCAACTCCCAGACCACAGCCTCCCCTTGCCCAGCACAGCCCTGGTTTGGTCATGGTGGCACACTCCTGGGGTTGCAGTGCCATGCCGTGATGACGTCACCAGGCATCTCCCTGACGACCGCTGTGTGTACGGGGTCCCTGGCAACAGACCCTCAGTCCTTAACCGACTTGCGTCTTGTGGCTGCTGACCCAAGAAGCGATTTATCCAAAGCTCTCCTTATCTCCCTCCGTCCCACCTTTCCGGAGGAGGATGGATCCTCCTCCACCAAAGAAGCTTAGGCTTCAGGGGAGCAGCAGCGAGCCTGAAGAAATGGAAATCGATCCACCTAAAGACGACGTCGAGCCCATGGAGGTGGATCTACCTCTGGAGGAAGAGCCAATGGAGGTGGATCCATCTCCACCAGGCCCGGGCAAATGCTGTAACACCACGCTTGCCCGGAGACGTCGTCACATCCGTTGGCGCACCAGGGGCTCTCGATTTCCATCTCGGCGTTGAAATGTCACCATCCGCCAGAGAGCCCCTGCGACGGCTGCTGCTCCCCACCCCCTTCCTTCTCCATTCCCCATCTTTCCCCAAGACCTCTCCCCTCTTCCTTCCCAAGCTCTGAGGAAAAGGGAAG